GGCCCGGGAACCGCCGGGGCGGGAGACGCGCCCCCAGGGCCGAGGGGTGACCCCGCGCGTCCACCCGCGCCCCTGGGGGAGACGCCCGCGGACCCGCTGTTCTGGGGCGCCCGGGCCGAGTCCTGGGCCCTCCGGGCGGGGCCGTGCAGGGTTGGGGGGGGCGGGGGCGGGCGGGACACCCACCCGAGGAGGCCCGGGGACCCCGCACTTTATGGGCGCGCTTTACAGCCGCGGAGGTCAGGGCGCAGGGGGCCCGGGGTCGGCAGCCCCGGGGGGCGCGGGCAGCGGCTAAACCCGGCTCCCGCGTCGGAGACCCGGGGCGACAAAGGGCGCCCCGGGCTGGGGCGGGGGGCCGGTAGGGGGGAGGGGGGCTGCGGGCCCGGCGCGGGGTCGGGGTCGGGGTCCGGGTCGGAGTCATTGTCGGGGTCCGGGTCGGGGTCGGGGTCGGGGTCCGGCCTGCCCGGGCGCGGTGGGCTCGGTCGCGCGAGCTGCGTGCTCCCGGCTCTGTCTCTGGTGAGTCCTCTCGCCCGGCCCCCCACATCTGGCCTGTACCCCGGTTCTCATAGAAATAAATTGTACAGAAAAACTTAAAAAAATGGGTTTCTTCTGGGGGCAGCTGTTTATTCCCCTTCTAGCAACCCCGAAACGTCCAGCCCATCGCCCCACAGTCTCCTCTGCTCGGGAGGCTGGATGGCGCGGACCGCGGCTGGCACGCAGGCTGGCACACAGGCTGGCACGCAGGCTGGCACGCAGGCTGGCACGCAGGCTGGCACGGGACGCCGTGTGTTTCCGCTGGCAAAGCCGAGAGGCAGCGCGGCTCGAAATCTGTTTTACAAATAAACTTGCACATACATTGTCCATTCACGGCGGGGAAATCTCTCCCCACGTCGGAGGAGCTGTCAGAGGCCCCGATAAACACGGGCCTTGTTTAGTTCACTGGGTACGGAATTCTTCTTCCCTTCGAAAATAATTATTTTTCAAGCAAGTGCAGCAAAAATACAACCAATAAAAGTCCAGCTGTGACGGCATAAACAACCTTCACGGCGGCGCGTGGAGGCTCCGCCAAGAAAAGCAGCCCTGGCGGGAGGACGCGGGAGACCCGGTCAGCCAGTGCCCAGCCCCAGCCCCGGCTGCTGAGCCTGTGGGCCCCTCGGCCGCCCCCACTTCCCTGCCCCTCAGCCCGGCAGGGACACGGCTGGGAGCGCTGGCCCGGCGCCCCCCAGTGTCTGCTTCATCTCCACCCCGGCTCCCTGGGGGCAGCCGTCGGGGCGGGGGTGCCTGGAGCGGCAGGAGGCGCTGTCCCCCTCTCCCCCTCTCCCAGCCCAGGCCTGCGGCCCCTCGGGAGGGCGGTGCTGGGCGGGTGGCTGACGGGGTATGGGGAGGGGGCTTAGAGATCCCAGGCGGGAGCCCCGCTCTGAGCTTCGGTCACCCTGTCCCCCCGAGCGGAGACAGCAGTTTGGGGGCGGTGCTTCCCGCTGGGCGGGGCTCCTGGGGCCCAGTGTGAGCACGGCCTCAGCACCTTGGGGTGCGCGTTTTTGCTTTTTATAGCAGCTCCAGGTGTCCCCGCAGCTCGGGAGCAGAAAGTGAAGTCTGTCTCCCTCGGGTGCGCCCGCTGTCCCCCGCCCGCTCCTCAGGGGCGCCCCGCATCCCACGGGTGAGAGTCCTGAGGAAGCTGATTCCCTCCGGCTGGGGTTGTTCGCAACTGGGCTTCAGGGGCGGAGCGACCGCGATTCTGGAGTCTCTGGAGGAAAGGACATGTGGGCCATTCCCCTGAGATAAAACAGCACCTCCTGGCGCCACGCTCGGCCGTGGACACACGGCTCCTTCTTCCCCTCCCAGCACCTCCCGCCTGGCCTAGGGCATGGGGGGCCTCGTGGACAGCAGCGGCCCAGACCTGTCCTCCCCCGCCTACGAGCAGCAAAGCTTGGCTGTCGCCCCGGCCTGCCCAGCCCGCACGGTGAGGCTGCGCCCCTCGCTGCCCAGGAAGCCCCACAGCCCTAGCCGGGCTCCCCGGGGCCCACATCCCCCCTCCTGGTCCCCCGGAACCCAGAGAGGCCTCTGCCTGGAGGCCACTGAAGGCCAAGTGCGCCTGGGTTCCTGAGGGTGTTGGGCGTGGCTACGTGATGCTTACAAATACGGGGTTCAGAGAAAGGAGTCTGCGCAGCAGCACTGAAATCTCAGCGGTCTCTTGCCCCCTCGGCCCAGGTGGAGGGTGGGGAGGGGACAGAAGGCCGGGCACCAGGGCCGCAGGTGTCGCCTGGAGGCTGGCCTGAGGAATCTTTAGACTGGACCGGCTCCCTCCCCCACCTCCTCTCCCCGCCTGTAGCCTCAGGGCCCCCCTGATGGTGGGGACTGTTCCCTGCGGTCAAATGGCCTCTCGTGGCAGCCCAGGGTTGTTTCCACTACTGGGCTGTGCGCAGGAGTGGGTGGGCATCCGGTCTGCTGGAGGTGGCTGCACTTGGTCCTTGCCAGCGGCTCTCGGCTGCGGGAGCGAGCACCCCGCAATCTCTGCGGGAGGAGAGTGTGTCCTAAGTGGGGGTGACTTCTGCGCCCCGCTTGTGCTGCCTGGAGCAAATTCTGAAGGGAAAACCGGGACTTTTAAAGCGGCCACGTCAGGGGGTGGTGACCCTCTCCCAACACAGCGGCTAGCTCGGCTCGTGTGCGGTGACCTCGTTGCTCTCAAACTAGAGTCGGGCCATATTCTTTGAAAAAATGCAAACGACACAGAGGAGTGTGTCACGTGGAAGGTGAGGCCCTCCCTTCACGGCGCCTCTGGTTTCACTCTCAGGGAGCCGAGCGCTCCCAACACGGGGCGCACCCCTTGTGGGCCTTTCCCAAGGCCACGTCCTGCTGTCCCCACGGCACGTGTCACCCGCACAGTCCCGTCTACCAGCACAGCACCCCCCGCGGCACGGATGGTTGTGTTCAGGTTTTAGGAAAAAGAAAAGCCCACAGCAGTTTTGCAGACACGGGGTGGGGGGTGGGGACCTGACTGGTGGCCCGGCTCCAGCACCAGGCGGGGCAGCTTGGAGGCTCTACCTGGGTGGTTTTTTTAAGATTTATTTATTTCTACAAGAACTGGGGTACAGGCCAGAAGCACGGGAGGGTGAGCCGATTCACCAGAGACAGAGCAGGGAGCAGAACAGGCAGACTGACGAAACACACTGCTGAGGGGAGCAGCGGGGAGACAGGAGAGGTCTGCGCGCCATGTGGGGTTCTCCCTGGCCGGCTGGGATTGAACCTGCCGGGATCCAGGCTGTGGACAGCTTCCCAGCGAGGCGCTCACCCCGCTGCGCCACTGGGGAAGCCCCGGGTTTTGGTTTTGAAAGTGAGCAGGTCTGAGCTCCTGCTGGCACCAGTTGGGTTCAAGGTGGCATCAGCACCAACCAAGTCTTGGGAACTGCTGGTTTGGAAAATGGATCAAAGAGGTCAGACCGGCTAGGAAGGGGGTGTAGCAGGGGCTTAGGAAGGGCTTACTGTGGTTGGAGAGGAGCAGGCTGGCGAGATGCTGGCCGGGAGAGCTGCTGCCTTGGAGAGTCCTGGAGCCGGCTTGAGGGGACGGCTTGACTGGGGTTGGGGAGCATCGGTCAGTCTGAGAGGCTGCCCGGGGAGGCTTGACTCAGCTTGGAGGGAGCCGTGAGAGACCGACCTCGGCTCCAGGAGGGCTGCTGCTGCCATGCGGCCTCGGCGGCTCCTGCGCCCACCCCAGCGGCTGCAGTGAGCGGGCCCTGGTCCACCGCTTACCAGGGCGCCAGCAGCTCCAGGCTCTCGGCGGGGAGACGGCGCCATCTCGCCTGCGCAAGCTTTTGGTCTGGACTAGTGGACCCTGTGGACGCTCTGGGGTGGGACAGCCGGCCATGTGTGGCCTTGGGGACACCTTCCTTGTCCCAAACTCCTATTTGTCGATAATCCCTGTTGCGGCTCCCTGAGATTCGGCTGTGCCTTGCGACTGTGCGCACGCGGGTGGGGAGCCCACGCGCTGAGAGGCCCCCCGGCCCCTCAAGCTTTCAAGATGCTGTTCTTCTGCTGAGTTTTTCTCGTAGTAATTGCTCGGTTTCATTTGCTTTCCTAAAAAAAACAAGCTTTTTATTTGAAAATAATTGCAGCGGCCCGTGGAGCTGCTGGGAATGTCCTGGGCCTGGGCACCTCCCCGAGGCCAGGACGCGCCCTCCACGCCCGGCCCCCGCGGAGCCCAGCCCGGCCGGCCCCTGCGCGCTCTCCCGGGCGCGCTTCTCGGGCTCCTACTGCTTTAATCGGGGGTAGTTGCGGGGTTCCCGCAGGTACCCGCAGGGCGAGGCGTGGGCGCCGGGTCCACCCCGGCCGCTGCCCCGCAGAAAGCGGCAGCCTCGGCCCGCGGCGGCCCGAGGGCGGAGCTGGCCGGGCTGGAGCGAGGGTGGCGGCGGGGCTGTCGCGCACACGTGCGATCAATAATCACTGAATTGCCGCATTTGGGGGCCTTCCGGGAGCCCCACGCGCCCCTCGCCAGGCCGGGCTGGGGGCGCGCCCGGAGCCCCTGGAGGGCCCGCGGGTGCGGCGCGGACACCCCAGCGCCGGCGGCTTGGGGGCGGGGCGAGGACGCCCCCGGACACTCAGCTCTCGGGGTTGCCGAGGGGGCGCGGGGCGTGGGGGCGCGGGGCGCGGGGCGTGGGGGGGCGTGTCGCGGGGCGCCTGCTCCCCCCGCCGCCCCGCGCACGGTCATTCCAGGGGAAACGGCCCGTCAACCACAGCCCTGACGTCACGCGCGCACCCCGCCCCCCGGCCTGCCGGGAAGGGCCAGGCGGGGCGCCTCGCGGTCCGGAGCCCCGAGCGCCGGGGGCCCCGCCCGTCACGCGCCAGGCGCGCCCGTCAGTCAAGGGCCGGGGGCGGGGCCGCGCCGCGAGGGCCGCCGGGCCCGAAGCCCCGCCCCGGGGCGGAGTCAGGGGCGGGGCCTGCCCGCGCAGCCGCCCTCCCGCCCGCCCGCCCCGCGCCGCGCTCGATTGCTCTGGCCTGGCGGCGGCAGCATGGCGGCGGGGGCGGCCGAGGCGGCGGCCGTGGCGGACGTGGGCTCGGCCCGGCAGTTCGAGGAGCTGCTGCGCCTCCGGGCCAAGTAAGCGGGCGGCGGCGGCGGCGGCGGCCTCGGGGGCGGCCTGGGGGGCGGGGCGCGCCCCCTCCTCCCGCCCGGCCCCGGCCCGGCCCGGCCCGGCCCGGCGGGGTGCGCCCTCGGGGCCCGCGCCCGCGCCCGGGGGGCTGCGGGGGCCGTGGCGTCGGGGGTCCGGGGTCTTGGGGCCCGGGGCTGGGGAAGGCTTCGGGGGGCGCCAGGCGCGGGGGGCCTGGGGGCCCGCGTGGGCCGGGCTGGTCTCCCCGGGCCGGGCCCGGCCTGCGCGGAGAGGCGGCCCCGGGGCTTCGGCGCGGCCGGGCCGCGGGGTTCGGTGGCCGGCTCGGAGGGAGAGCGGGCGCGAGGGCCCCCTTCTGCCGGGCCGCGCCTTGTGCGGGGACGGGCTTAAGGGGGTCCCCCCAGCTCGGGGGCCTCCGGGTTTGCCTGGAAACGGCGCGGGGAGAACAGGGCGGGGGCCCGGAGGCGGCGGGGCAGGACCGGCCCCCCGGCCCCGAGGGCCCGCCCGGACGGCGGCTCTGCCTTCAGGCCGCTCGGGCCGTCCCGGGGCGCCGCGCGGCGGGGGGCGGGGGGCGGGGGTCCTCTCCGCGCGGTCCCCACGCCGGCTCCTGGGCGGCGGCGCCGGACCCCGCGGCCTCTGGCCCCAGGGAAGCGCCTGGGAGCGTCAGTCGCCCTCGTGAGCGGGGTCGCCTGGACCCGCTCTCGGACACGCGCGGCTCAGCGCGGAGCGGCACGCGCGGGGCAGCTTCGCCGGGGCGTCCGGTCGGACGGGCCAGCCCTTCGCCGCTCCGTGCGCGGCTGGCGGCGCCCGCGGCGGGCGGCCGGGTCCGCCTCGTGCCGGGCAGCGCGCGGTGCTGGCTGGCGCCGGTGGCCGCGGTCCGCAGGGCCTCCGGGAGCAGCGCCGGGGCCGTGGTGACCGGGGCGGCCGCTCCCCGCGCGCCCTTGGTTCTGGTGAAGGGCCCGGCCCCGGCGGCAGCAGCGCGGAGCCTGTGGCCGCCGGCCCGGCTGGAGAGAGGCGGCTCCGGGCAGGTGGGCGCCCGCCCCGGCGTCCCGCGGCGCTGCCGCGTCTTCACCGCGCTCTCGTGTCTTTGTTTCGTCTTCCCAGGGTCACCCGGTGGCAGTTAAGGGAGGTTAGATCCCTCGTCAGTCTCGTCGGCGGTGATGGCGTTGGGGTGTGCTTTGTTCCTCTCTCGCATGTGTGGGTGTGCGCTGTCAGTTCGGAACTTCCTTTAGTTTTTAACAGCATATGGTCCCATCATGAGCCTTTCCCCTTGTCATTTTCTATTTGAAAATGGGGTCTTTAACGGCTTTACAATTTTTTGTCTCATGGCCATAAAGATTACCTTGTTGAACGAGGGGTTTTTCTGGTTATTTGCTCTGTAAAACGACGGAAGGACGCGCGCTACGTCTTTGTGTCTGGAATTACTTCCTTAGGGCAGAAAGTTAGATTTCTGGAAGGTTTGATTTCATTCTTACCCCTGGGATGTGAGGTGCTCATCCCACTCTAGCCTTGTTATCAAGGGGCGTTATGATTTTAAAAGTTCTTCCAGTTTTGCAAAAAGTGGTATCCCAGCTGTTTAGAAGTCGGAGACGGTGCCCGCACGCCCTGATGAGTGCACGCGTTTTCACGTTAGGGGCGGCGAGCCGGGTCTGATGCCGGTGGGTGCACACCCAGGCAGCTGCCGCCCGGGCCGCTCTGCTCCGTGGTCACTGAGTCTTTCCCCCAAGGGGCTCGCACGGCTCCTGCCAGCCGCATCTGGCCTCTGCCAGGGGTGTCTTCAGATTCCTCCGAGTCGCTAGGCCCAGCTGTAGTTGGCTCCTCGCCATGGCTCAGCAGCTCCGTCATCGTGGACAGGACGGCACACAGCGACCTGCCTTGTGTGAGTGTCCTGTGACCGCACAGTCTGCGCGGGGCAGCCCCTGGGCCCTGCCCGCGCTCCCTCGGGGACTGAGCCGCCCGGTGACGGGGCTGTGTGCCGCGCTCTCCCCAGTTTGTGGACATTGGATTGTTGGGGTATTATTTCTGAGTGTCCATTCTTTTGGGGTCTTGTTTTCCTTCTCCCCATCCCTTAGGCCCTGGCTGCTCTGCGGAGGCTCACACCCAGGTTTAGAGGGGCTGCAGTTGCCGCCTGGCCTGGACCCCAGCAGACCCAGCCTCAGCGCCTGCCCCCGTGGGACTTTTTGCTGCCCAGTTAGTTCTCCCTTTTCCTGCCCGCCCCCGCCCCTGTGGCTCCTCTGTGCAGCAAGCTTTTAACATGTTTTCTTCCTGACTTTTCCAGATTTTTGTGATTGGGGAATGTATTTTGAACCTAGAATTTTATAAAGCTGTAGGGTTTTTAGTAGGCTGTGAAGATAGACCTAGAGGGCTCTTTGCCAAGATAATTTACATGAAAATAGGTGGTAAGTAGACCCTGGGAGTCCTAAGAACTTACTCAGTAGTTTATTCTTCCCCTTTTCTGTCTGCTCATGTTACCAATTTTTAGAATTCTTTTGGTAACAGAGTGTGTCTCTGAAGCCCCCCCCCCCCCCCTCCCCGGGTCGGGTTACCTGCTGCTGTCTCAGGGCGCATCCCTGGGGCGTGGTACCCTGCGCAGACGCCTGAGAAGACAGGCTGGCAGGGCAGCGCCCTCTGGAGCCTGTTCTGGAGGCTGGTCAGCAGGGGGTGGCGGGAGGGTGCAGTCTGCGTGGGGGGTGCCAGCAGCATGTCTGCAGGTGCTTCTCACGCGTGTCCTGCTCCCCTGCAGAGATCCGGGCTCCCCTTTCCTAAGCGTGAAAGTGCTGTTGGTCCATGGGCGGGCCTTCACAGCCACCCCGTGTGCATTACCCTGGACTGAGAGTCCAGCCACGCTTGCGTCCCCGGGCGCTTCGCCAGTGGATTCCCAGCAGGGTGACCACAATTCAGGCAGCTTTTTAAGGGTTTGTTTTTTTTTTTTTTTGGTAATAGAACGTCGTCTGTGTTTCATTTATTTATTTATTTATTTATTTATTTATTTATTATGCAAGAACCGGGGTATAGGCCAGATGTGTGAGAGGGTGAGAGGATTCCCCAGAGACAGAGCAGGGAACAGAACAGGCGGATCCACTGAAACCCACTGCTGAGGGGAGCAGCAGGGAGACAGGAGAGGTCTGCCGCGCCATGTGGGATCCTCGCCGGCTGGCCGGGATCAAACCCGCACTGCAGAGGCTGTGGACAGCTCCACGGCACTGCGCTCAACGGCCTGCGCCACCAGGGGAGGCCCTGTGTTTCTTTCTTTTAAAGGTAACCGTTAAAAACTGCGTTTTGCTCATCCACAGATCCCTCCTCGTGGTCCATTTCTGGGCGCCATGGGCCCCGCAGTGCGCGCAGATGAACGACGTGATGGCAGAGCTCGTCAGAGAACACCCCCAGGTCTCGTTCGTGAAGGTACTCCCCAGCGGCTGTGCACCCTCGAGGCGGGGAGGAGTGGTCGGAGCCGCGCCTGTTTGCGGCTGGTGCTGGGAGTTGGAGTTTTAATGCAGTGGATTAGCCTCAAGATCCCAACGGGCTCGTGCGTCTCCCAAGCCGCGGCGTCGGAAAGGTGGCAGACTCCCTGCCCCATGTCGTGGGCTGGTGCTGGCAGGGCTCAGGACGGGTGCGAGGGCAGCACCAAGCACCAGCCAGACTGTTCACTGGCCGGCAGTGGTCGTGACCTCAGGGCGAATGACCAGGTGTGATGTGGAAAGTGACTCGGGGGCGTAGGGCGGCGAGGCCAGGGAACGGGCCCAGTGGCGTGGGGCTGGGCCAGCACACCGCAGAGAAGCTGTGCGGTTCTGGGCTGTTCGGGAGCAGGAGGACAGAGCCTGACAGCGTCTCTGCCATCTCCGGGTGGCCCCCGCTCCCCCTGGGCCGGCAGGTCCGGGGCTGTGCGGGCGGCAGCCGTGAGGCAGCTCACTGGCTCAGCCTGCGCCGCTCGGGACCCGGTGCTGTTCGAGGCACTGGACCCGTCATCCAGGCCTGTTTCTTTTTTTTTTTCCTTCCTTTTTTTTTTTTTTTAAAGATTTATTTATTTATGCATACAAGAGCTGGGGTACAGGCCAGAGATACGGGGGGTGAGAGGATTTACCAGAGACAGAGTGGGGAGCAGAACAGGCAGATGGACCGAAAACACTGCTGAGGGGAGCAGTGGGCGAGGCAGGAGAGGTCTGCTGCACCATGTGGGTAGCTCCCTGGCCATGTGGGTTGCTCCCAGGGTTGCTCCCTGGCTGGATCGAACCGGTGCAGCAGAGGCTGCGAATTGCTTCATAGTGCGGTGCTTAACCCCTTGCGCCACCAGGAAGGCCCCCAGGCCTGTTTCTTTTTTTTTCTTTTTTAAGATTTATTTATGCAAGCACTGGGTACAGTCAGAAGCGCGGGAGGGTGAGAGAATTCACCAGAGCCAGAGCGGGGAGCAGAGCAGGCAGAAGGACCGAAGTACACTGCTGAGGGGAGCAGTGGGCGGCAGGAGAGGTCTGCGCGCCATGTGGGACCCTCACCCTGCGGCCGGAGATCAAACCAGCGCTGCAGAGGCTGTGGGCAGCTTCGCAGCCTAGCGCTCAACCCCTGCGCCACCGGGGAGGCCCAGGCCTGTTTCTTAAAACCAGGGTCTGCGTTGGGAGGACAGGCCGCGGCGCGGCACATGGCAGAGAGGGTGTCTGCTTTGGGACCGTGCTGCTTGTTGTGTAGCCGCGGCAGCTCTGGCAGGTGGTGCTTGTGCAGGTAATGGCGTCCCGGCGCTGTGGAATCCACGCTGAGACTGGGTGTCCGGGCATCTTCTTCGTGGGTCAGTAATCAAACCGAAGAGATGCGCAGGAGCTTTGCTTTGCCCGGGCACTGCGCCCCTGCCGTCAGCCGCTCGTGCCAGTCACGAGTGTCCGGTGCTGCGTGCCGCAGCCAGAGCCAGCGCAGTAGAGCCGTGCGCCTTTTAAAGTTGAAGGACTCATTTAAAATTCCAGTGAATCGTGTTGTGTAACCTGAGAGTGGAGGCCTCCGGTGTCGGCATCAATAATGGAAGGGGCCAGCAAAGCCGCCGTGTCGCCCGTGGTTGGAGGTGACAGTCACGGCCGGCTGTGATTGAAGGCGGGCTCGGGGCGGGGGGTGGGGGGTGTCTCTGCAGTCACTGCAGGTTACTGCCCGCTGCCGAGCCTGGCGCTGGGATTTCGAGCGGCTCAAGGGCATAAGTGCCTGAGCCAGCTGCGTGGGAGCCCTGCCTGCCTGGGCCACCTGGACCCAAGCCTGCCACTCGGGGCTGGTGACTGGGCGGGCTCTGCAGTCCTTGCTCCCCGGGACCCCCGGGTGGGGCTTTTCCGTGGCCGTGAGGACACCCAGCCATCGCTTAGGGCTGGAAGGAGGCCCGAGGGCGCTGGAGCAGCAGTGAGCGCAGGTGCGTGAGTCCTGCGACCCCCCCCCCGCCCCCCGCGGCTGTTCACGGCTCTTCTTCAACACGAGGGTTCGGAGGCTTCTTTTCTAACCACCCCGTGTCTTTTAACTTGATTTTTTAGTCTTTTTTATGGCGGCAGAGCTCGGTGTCCTGTAAGGAGTGGAGTCCTCCACGTGTGACTCAAATGTCCAGGGCGCGGCTGGTGACGGAGACGCACGCTTCAGAGGCCGCCCGCTGGGGTCGACGGCGGTGAGGGCGCCTCAGGGCGCGGTCCCGGCTGTTCCGCCAAGGCTTCTGCGGTCCCGGCCCCAGTCCCGGGATGACCGGGCTCTCAGTGGCGTCCCCTCAGCCGCCCTGGCTGCCCAGCCCAAGGCTTGCGCTCCTCAAGGGCTTGTGGGAAAATCACTGAAACAGTCGCCCAAAATGTTATGGAAACCCTAGATTTATCCAGAATAAGACTAAATGGCTAATTAGCGTGTCACGGGCCTTCGCTTCTGGCGCGCCGTGCGGTCAGCTCGCCAGCACTTCGCCCTGACGGGGGTCGTGTGCCGCAGCCCGGCCTGCGCGGAGGTGGTGGGAGGAGGGAGCACGCGCTTCTGGGCGACGAGCCGGGGCCTGCGGCCGTGTTCAAGGTCCAGGCCTGTCCTCGGTGCCCTGGGAGCGGGCGTTGGTCACGTCAGGCACATCACGTTGGATTTCGTTGGTTCGTGCACATCGGAGTTAGCCCCCGTGGTCCCGGCGGCTCTGGGCTGCCAGTGGCGGTTTCCTCTGTCCCCGGGCCGGGCTGTCCCGCAGCGAAGAGTTTCACCCGGGCGTCATGGCACCCCCTTTCTTGTTGGTTCCCTTACAGTGTGCGGCGCCCGCCGCTCAGCCTCTTGGGCGCCGGCACCCTGATCTCTGCGGGTGCTGGTCGGCGCCTGGGGGAGCTTGGCGCGCTGCCTGCGTGCGGCGGGCCTTGTTTGTGTGGTGGCCGCTGCGCTTGCGTTTATGCCCATTGTGACTTCGTGCAGGACACAGAAGGGGTTAAATTTGCATTCTCTTACCCCTTCAAGATGGGATCTTTGTAGTTTTGATTTTTTTTTTTATTTCAAAGATTTATTTTTATTTATCTGTGCATACAAGAGCCGGGGTGCAGGCCAGAGGTGCGGGGGTGAGAGGACTCACCAGAGGCAGAGTGGGGAGCAGAGGAGGCAGATTGCCTGAAACACACTGCTGAGGAGAGCAGCGGGCGAGTCAGGAGAGGTCTGTTGCGCCCTGCGGGTAGCTTCTGGCCGGGAGGAACTCAGGCCGCAGTGGCTGCCGATAGCTTGATGGCGCTGAGACTTAACCCCCGCCCCACCGGGGAGCCCCTGACTTATATGTGCAGCCATCGGACAGGTACGGCTCACACCACTTAACTTCTGCACGGCTGGAGGCTCTTGCTGCCGCTTCTCCTGTGCAGTCTCCAGCAGGGCTGTGTGCCGCACCATGCCGCCGGCCCCAGGAAGCCCCGCAGCCAGCCACGGGCTGAGCACCTGGATTTCTGGAGTTAGCAGCAGCCAGCAAGCTCACCCAGCAGCTTGTGTGTGCTTTTGGGAAGGCTGACGATCTGCTCAGATAATCATGGTGGAACTGCTGATCGTAAACTGCCTGTTTTTCATCTACAATGTCCTGATCATTAAAAAATAGCACAGTTGGGCCTCCCTGGTGGCGCAAGTGGTTAAGCACCGCACTGTGAAGCTGTCCGCAGCCACTGCAGCATGAGTTCGATCCCTGGCCGGCCAGGGAGCAGCCCACACGGCGCAGCAGACCTCTCCTGTCTCCCCGCTGCTCCCCTCAGCAGTGGATTTCAGTGGCTCTGCCTGTTCTGCTCCCCGCTCTGTCTCTGGTGGGTCCTCTCACTCCCCACAACTCTGGCCTGCACCCCTGCTCTTGTGTGCTTAAATAAATCTTTAACAACAACAACAAAAAGGCACAGTTATCGTGGCTTATCGGTTGTAAACTAATAAAGTTTGGTGGCCAATTGTGGCAGCTGTCTTACGAAAATATCTGTTTTGAAATTCTTATTTGGCTGTTTGACAAAGAAGAAACCTTGATTTTGGAGGTTTCCTTGGGGTGTCTGTGACAGAGCAGAAAGAAGCCTCTTTCTGAGGCATAGCAGGAGGTCCCTCTTGTCAGGTCTGGTCCCGTCTCCTGCTTCTTGGGCCTCAGCACCACCCTGGCCTGAGGTGGGGCCTCCAGCGTCCTGTCGGGGTCCATCCTGGGCCTTGCATGCCTGCAGCCTGAGGCATAGGCCAAGTGGGGACGCCAGTCCCAGCAGAGAAGTCGGGAGGCTGCGGGAAGGCGACGGAGGGGACGGGGTAGCTTCTGGGAAGGGGCCCGGGCAGCAGCATCTGATCGAAGCGTGGGGTGGGGACCTGAAGGGCCTTCCCGGGGCAGCCGGCCAGCTGGACGTGAGGCCTCTGGGCTTCCTCTCGGAGGGGCCCCGGAAGACCTGGTGGTGGATTGGGGTCGGGGTCGGGGTAAGGGAAGGTCCTGAACCCGGATTGTCACCTTGATTTGAGGGGCGCGGTGGGCAGGGGGTGGACGCTGGCCTAGAGAGGACCTGGGGGCTCGGGGAGGGGAAGGGAGTGGAGTGGGGGCGAGGCAGCAGGCCCAGGCAGGTCCTGGCACCTGCCAGTGGTGAAGGGGCCCACCTGAGGGCTGGGCAGGGGTGCTCAGAGGGTGCCCGGCCCAGTCCGTGGGGGGCTGCGCCCTGCCGTGCCTGCCCCGCCCGCTCTGCCCTGCCCGGCCCTCACCACAGCCTGCCCACTGTGGTTGGCATCCGCCTGGGCTTCCCCCCAGGGGCTGCCTGAGGGGCACGGCTGGAAACCTGCAGGGATGAGAGAGGAGAGCAGCTTCTGAAGCCCTGGGGGTCCTGGCTTGGCTGCTGCTGGCCCTGCTCGGGCCGACGGCCTCCGCGCGGTTTCTGCTCAGCCGTCCCTCTGGGAGCCTGGGGATGCCAGAGGTGGGGTCCGCACCCAGCCGGCCCGGCCTCTCCGCGCCCCTCTGCTCCGTCTCCTGGGACACGCGTGAGGAAAAGGCACAGAAGCTGCCGAGCCCCGAGGAGCCGGGCTCCGCCAGGTGCCTCCGGGGCTGTGCCCAGCTCGGTTTTCCGTGTCCTCGGACGGTGGGCGCCGTTGTCGCGTCAGCACAGCCGAGCAGCTAGAAGCAGCGCTGGGAAGTAGTTCTGAAGCAAGAGAAGGAGGCGGTGAGGGGCCGGGGCGGCACGGGCCAGCGAGTGGGAGCCCTGGAGCCGGCAGAGAAGCGGGGAGCCCCCAGGACCCCACTCTGGGAGGAATACAGCGTGTGTGTGTGTTTAAGCATTTGCAGCAATGTAATTTATCAATACATTTCATTTCCTAGAGGTGTAGTGTGAATACAGATCTTGATTGGTTTTTAAAGTTTAGAGTAAATGGACACTCCCGTGAGGGGGAGAGACAGTCCTGGCTTCCTCACGGCCGTGCTTTGTGAAGCCCCACGGAAGCCCCGAGCGGTGGTTGTTCCTTGTTATTTGGAAATTGTCAACAAATAGGTCTGCGGTCCGGGAGTCCGGGGCCGCGTGAGTCGCGGGGGCTCCAGGAGACGGTCGCGCAGGAAGCGGGCACCCAGCCTGGCGCTTGCGTGGGGTGGCCCGAAGCGCCGCCTGGCGGGTCTGCTCGGAGCCCAGCGGCCTGGCAGGAGTTAAAAGCAAAATCTATCAGCCATCAATAGTTTATTGAAGAAATACTCCTTTTTGCTTCATAATTTGCGGAGGGCCGGAGCTGTCACTCGTGATGTAGTGCCTCTTGAAATTAGTCAATAGAGCAAACAGCAAGAATTGCTGTGGGCAGAAAATAAGCACTGTAATCATGACATAACTGGGGTCAGTGATTTATGGATTTCAATATCGTAGTAGCTGCATAGGATTGAAAATTTACTAGGTCACTAGTGCACCAAAAATTTTATTCACAGCCTCCGGGCATCCTTTGAAATGTGCAACAAAATAAAAACCTCTGAACCTGTTTTGACACTGCAGATGCAGGGACTCCAGCGGCCCAGTGAGCCTCATTTAAATGTAAATGTGCCCGGGCCAGCCGCTCCTGAGCAAGGCCGGCCTTCCTGGGTGAGGCGGGGAGCTGATTTGCGAACTGAAGGGCCTGTTTATAATCCAGTTTAAATTATCTTATTTTCAAGTTGGAAGCCGAAGCCGTCCCTGAGGTGTCTGAAAAATATGAGATCAGTTCTGTCCCCACCTTTCTGTTTTTCAAGGTAAGGAGGAAGAGGGCCACCCGCCCGCTGCCCAGCCCCGGGTGCCCGCCGGCCGGCCTCTCCCTGCTCTCCTTTGTGCCCATGCTGAGCCGCTCTGTGTACCCCGGAAACTGGCCCGCTGTTTGTGGGGGGTAGCCCCGCACCAGACCTGGGGGCCTCTAGTGCAGACCCCGGACACTGCCATGCTGGGCACTCGCCGTCCGGCCCCGAGCCCGTGCGTGGTGATATGGGACTGGCTCTGGCTTGGTGAACGCCCCGCCGGGAAGATCTGTGCTCCCTTGTCGTCCCCTGAATGCCTCATTTGTACTTAACAATAGGTTGATTCCCCCCCCCCCACCCCATCAGGGTGGGAAGGCCGGATCGTTCGAGTTTGACATGGGCGTTTTCCTGGTACGTGCCCGAGAAGGAAAAGGAGGACCTGCGCCTGCGCTCGGGCTGGAGGCCTTGCGGGACGCTGCTCAGTGCACTTTGTGTTTCATTTTTCACGCGGAGCATTGACCCCTTCAGATAGGCGGAGCTGTGGGTGTGCCCGTCCTGGGTGGGCAGGGAACTCTAAGCGCCTCTCTCACTGCAGAATTCGCAGAAGGTCGACCGCCTGGACGGCGCCCACGCGCCCGAGCTCACCAAGAAGGTGCAGCGGCACGCGAGCAGTGGTGCCCTCCCGGCAGGCGGCGCCCCACACCCCGAGGAGGACCTCAGCCTGCGCCTGAAGAAGCTGACACACGCCGCCCCCTGCATGCTGTTCATGAAGGGGACCCCCCAGGAGCCGCGTTGCGGTGAGGAGCTGGCGGGCGGGCGCGGCCAGCGGCCCCTGGCTTGGGAGAGGTGCCTTCCCTGGGCATGGCAGTGCTGAGCGAGGGTGGTAGGCGTGTGGGCAGGCGGGGCCGGGCTGGAGGCACTTAGAAACTACCCCCTGAAGATTTTTCTCTGACATGGAGGGACCCTCCCCAGGGGGGCCTCGCTCAGGGTCCCCTTGGGCGGAGGTGGGAGGGGCTCCAGCGGCCCCTGGCTCCCTGGGTGGCTGGCTGGCTGCTCAGATCACGTGGCTGTGAGCGGTGGGCCAGTCTTGGCGCGTGGGGGGCACGGCCTGGTGGTGTCTCTGCCCGGGCTGGCTGCCACCGCTCTTGGCTGGGCCTGTGCCCCACCGATGGCGGCCACCACCATCCACGCGCGTGCTCGAGAGGCTGTCCTTGGGGGAGCTGGTGAGCGCGGCCCTCTGTGTTGGGGGCCTGGTGTCTCTTTCCTGTGCCGCTTGGAGTGCCTGCAGGTGGGCGGCACTGGGGACCCACAGGAAGCAGGGCAACCCTCCCCCTAGACCCAGCCCTCGGGTTCTCTAACCTCTTTTGAATGGCAGCGGATGGACGCAGAAGACCCTGGTGCCGAAATGCCAGTCCTGGTCCCCAGCCTGTCTGAGCAGGGTGGGGCTGGAGCCGGCTGTGGAGCATCTTTTAATTACCTTTTATCAGTTTTTCAAGTAAGTCAGAATTACAGTAGAAAAGACCGGTTTCCTGCCAACCTTGTGCCTCTTGGACTCGGCGAGTGGCGTCTCCCGCGTGTTGGTGCTGGCTGAGGGGCCTTCGGGAGCCCCAGCAGCGGGTCAGCAGCAGAGTGAAGCTCTCGGACACCTCGGGGGAGTGGAAAATGCGGGGCCTTCTAGACAGGTGACGAAAGGCATAGCTGGGGGAATTAAAGGTTTTCAGATATGACCAACAGTTTTCACTCCGCTCACACACTTGAAGTTCTTGTAGCTACGTGCTTAGTAGCTTCCCTGTCCCGACGTGTCTCCATCACATGCCGTTGACAGGGTCTTGCTGGACGGTTGGTGCTCTTTGATAGAACGTCTGCATCAGGATTAATTGGAGGATTTTTTATTGTGATTGGCCTGCCTTTCATGACCTTGCCGATTCCGTCTTCTTCTTTTTTTCATTAAAGATGTATTTATTTATGCACACGAGAACTGGGGTGCAGGCCAGAGGTGCGGGGGTGAGAGGATTCACCAGAGACAGAGTGGGGAGCAGAACAGTCAGCTCTACTGAAATCCGCTGCTGAGGGGAGCAGCGGGGAGACAGGAGAGGTCAGCTGCGCCATTTGGGTCGCTCCCTGGCCGGGGATCGGACTCGCGCTGCAGCGGCTGGCCACAGCTTCTGAGTGCTGAGACTTAACCCTTGTGCCTCCAGGGAGGTGCCCTGTCCCCTTCTTGCGTGCCTGGCGGCACTCTGCCCTCTGGTTCTTAGAGCAGCATTGGCGATTCTGCCTCTCGGGGCCTGGTTAGTGGAAAACGTGCTTCTCTGTTGCATGCCAGGGCCCTCTGAAGGCCGTGGCCCCGGAGCGCCTGACCAGGCCCCTCGCGTGATGGCTGCCTGAGTGCCTCTGACAGCTGCCCCCTGGCCAGGGCCTGTGCGCCCCAGGATGCTGGCCCCCAGGGAGCCGCATACCACAGCGCCCCTTGCTCTCAGCTCACGGGAAGGTAGGCGTGAGCGGCGTTTCAGTGGCCGACAAGGCGCCCTTGAGAGCTGATTCAGGGTCCGCGCTGGCGCCTTGCCCGGATGTTTTGCGCCTCTTGCCTTCCTCTCCTCGACTTTGGGGCTCCACCTGCAGCCCGGACACCGCTGCATGAGCCTGATGTGGGCGAGGGGGTGTCCGTGCTCACAGGGTTAGGTTGGCCTCCTCGGCGCTCTCGTGACCGGGAAGGTTTGCCAGAAGCAGCGAGGTGACGGCTTTGTGAACAGATGTTAAATCCTTGAACACGCAGGTTAATTTGTTTGGGAGACCGCGTGACTATCTCAGTCGGCGTTCAGCAGAGCAAAAGGTGTTTGCACACGGTCCAGGTTGTCCCCGCAGCGGGAGTCGCGTAACGGCCTTCAGGTCAGCCCTCGGGGCGCCGCCGGGTCCGTGACGCGCCGGGGCCTCCCTCACATGTCCCGTCTCGCGTCCAAGTGGCTGCAGACAGGAATGGCGACGAGGTTGCTGAAAACTTGGCTTTTTTTCACTTAAATATTTTTATCGTATGCGTGCATTGTTCTTGTAAAGAATGCGCGTGTGAGCGTTGTGTTCCTGGAGCGAGGCTTTCTCGCCGTGTTACCCCTCAGCATGGCATTCCCGGTCTGCCGCGTCAGCCCTGAAACAGGAAGCTCTCCCCATCGGTCTTTCTAGGGTGCATGTCATTGGCCAAAGCGGAAACAAAGCTGCTGCGTGGCCGGTTGCATGGAGATGAGGGAGTGTATCGGCGACAGACCCGCCGCCAGCCTCTCGCTGTTGCCCGTCGCCTCCCAGATGGACGGAGAACACTCGGAGTCGGTGCTTCACTCGGGCCGTGCCCGGACCCCGCTCTCCCGCTGCGGGGCTGCAAGGCGCCCGCGCGCGGACAGCCGTGCTCGTCGCGTCTGGAGTCGCTCGGGGCTCGGGGCGGATCAGGCCCCGCGGTGACCGTGCCTTTGCTGACCGTCAGGCCAGGCTGCTCTCGCCCGCGTCGTGTCGTGGATTCCGTGACGTGGCTTTATTTAGAAATAGCTGGCGCGGCCCAGTCTTACAGAAGCCTGAAGCTGGAGGGTGGGTGTCCTCAGGGACCCGCACCGGCTCCAGCAGGGACCCCAGCCATGGAGCCGCCTCGGGGAGACGCGGCCTGTGGGAGGAGCGGCGTGTGCTGGTGAAACGGGCGGAGAGTGGCCTCTTCCCACCGAAACGGGCAGAGTAGGCCACGAGAGGCCACAGGGTCTCTGAGACCAGAGCGCCACCCAGAAGCCCCGAAAGGCCGAAAGCCAGAGGACAGGCCCTGTAAGAGGACCGTCTCTGTCGGGGGTCTCACCCGCACGCACGGTGGCGGGAGACCTCAGCCTCCGGAACCACCACCCCGGGGTTTCTTCACAACCGGGAATAACGAGCTCGCTGCGCCCACACGTGGCGGCTGCTCACCCGGCACCAGGCCGGGGCCGTGGGCTCCTCTCAGGCGACGTCAGAGCCAGGCCCGAGGCCCGTCTGTGACCAAGTCCTCCGGCGCCTCCCCTCCTTGGGGGCGGCTGCTGGACGCTGCTTCTCCCTTTCTTCAGAGGCTGGAACCGTCTTCTTTCCTCCAGGGGCCGGCGTCGTCTCTCCTCCTTCGGGGGGCCCGGGTTGTCTCCTTTTTCTGGGGGCTCCTTGGCTCCCTCCAGCGCTGGCTTAGCTCCTCTTTCACCCACACGTCTGGTTGGACCACTCAGCCCCAGTCACCTCACAGCTCGCGCCTGCCTGTCACCAAGGGCAATTATGAGCTCTGAGCGGCAACTGCCACCACCGACTTCTGGTGGGCAGCAGGGGCGAAAGGCCATCACTGTCCTGCCGGCTCCCGCCGCTGAGATGGCGGGTCCCCAGCACTGGGGCTTGGCGTTGTGCGCACGTGGCCGAGGGCGAGAAGCTGAGCCCGTGTTTTCTCTTCCCTGCCTGCAGGTTTCAGCAAGCAGATGGTGGAAATCCTTAACAAGCATAACATTCAGTTTAGCAGCTTTGACATCTTCTCCGACGAGGAAGTTCGTCAGGGCCTCAAAACCTACTCCAACTGGCCCACCTACCCCCAGCTCTACGTTTCAGGGGAGCTCATCGGAGGGCTCGATATCGTTAAGGTTAGAGTCGGGACGGCTGTGCCTTGTGACGAATTGCCACCTGGACGCGCTCTGGAGCACGGGGGTGGGGGTGCCGGAGGGCGCCCGCCTGTGAGCCCGGGCGCGGCCTGCGGAGGCGCTGGCAGAGGCCGGTGTGCGGCGACTGCGTCCGTCTGGGGAGTGTTTCCTCACGTGCGCGTCTGTTTATTTCAGGAGTTAGAAGCGTCTGAAGAACTAGATACAATTTGCCCCAAAGCTCCCAAATTAGAAGAAAGGTAAGTGTTTAAACGATGGACTACTCGAAACTTTTGAAAAATATTTTTCAACCCTTAGCTCTTACATTGCTCCTTCCACTCCTCGGGCTGCTGCGCGTGGCAGGGCCGTCCCTGCGGCGTTTGCTCGTGGGTGCCCTTCCCGTCACGCCTGCCGGGGGGTCTCTGCTCTCACGGGGCGGTGGTGAGCCCCCGTGGCAGCCTCGGTCCCGTCTGGAGCGCCGCAGCCGCCCCAGGTGCCGGGGTTCCTGCTGGGCCCGGCCCGGCATGCCATGCCCTTCGATCAAAGCCTCTTCTGCGGCCACTCCCCACGGCCTCCCGGTAACGGTGTCCTGGGTGAGCAGACGCGTGTGTGACATGTCGGGGTTCTGTTGCTTTTCCCAGACCTGACAGTTGACGGTTCAAGGAAATGTTGAACTCATAAAATGTCTGTGACTTGAAAGGTCTCAATCAGCTTCTAGAGATTTGATCTGATAGGAATTTGGACTTTGGCCTGTGGGGAGACTTCTGGGGTCTCAGCTGATGTGTCTGAGATTGCCAAGCTATGACAGGAGTGTGTTTTGAGGGGCAGCAGCCTGCCGGCCCTGGGCGCATAGGGCTTGAGTCTGTAGTGTGAAAACTTCCCTTGAGGTTTTCCTACCATTTAACATTTTGGAAGTTTTATCTAAAACTGTTCAGTCAGTCCATACCCCCCGATCTGTCCTTGGTTACCAGGGTAACCCTGAGAGGCAGCTGCAGGCATCAGGCTGACCTTGCGGGCATGAAAGACATGCCCCCTCCCTGCCTTTTTGGTGAGAAGGCGAAGCTGCTGTTCCCTGGTGCCTCCAAGGCCTCGCCTAGGCTCCCCGGGACTTCGCCTGTGCTCCCTGGGGCCTTGCCTGTGCTCTCTGCAGCGCGCCGGGGGCTCTGGAGGCTGTGTGGATGTTGGCACCTGCCTGCGGCCTCTCAGGGCCCTCAGCTATTCACATCCCGCCCCTTCGAGCCTGGGGCTCGGCCTCAGCCTCTTTCCAGGGCGCTTGTGTGTCTCCGCTGTGGTCTGGCTGGACTCAGGCGGATGCACAGACAAGCCAGGGCGTCCTCAGGGATGGCCTCAGGGGCCCTGGTTAGCGGGGTGCGGAGCTGAGTTTCTGGACACAGCAGCGTCTGGGGGTCAGCTGGTCAGAGGCCCTGTCGTGGCTCGCTGGGTCACGAGGTGAGTGGCAGCAGCACCACGGTCTTGCTTCTTGCTCTCATTCTGAGAAGTGGCGATTGGCGCCCCCCTGGAGGGACACACACAGGGACGCACGCTGACCCCAGGCGAGCCTCTGCGCGGACAGTTATGTGGACAATGATGTGTGACAGAGGGTGGAGCCGTGAGTGGACAGTTGAGGTGGGAGTGTGGGACAGTTCAGCAGCTGGTGGTAGCGGTGCCCACCCTCCAGGGGGCCCGCGGGTGCTGCGCCCCGTGTCAGGAAGGGGGTGCAGTGTGCCCGCTGCCTTCCAGCGGCTGGGACGGCTCCCCAATGGCCCTCGCGGAGCCCGCGTGGCTGCGGCAGCCATCACCGTCGTCCTGGTACTGCGAGCGGATGGGCTTAGGTGCAGCTTGCAGGCGCCTGCGTTGCCAGGAGGCCTGTCACGTTTGGCGGCGGCTTAGGGGCTTGAGGGGGGCACGTGGCTAAGGAGGCGGCGGCGCCTGCCCGCTGGCCCCAGCCCTCCGGGGAGCGGAAGAGGCTCTTCATGGCCGAGCTGAGCCACTTTGTGTCTGTTTTCTCCCTCTAGGCTTAAAGTCCTCACAAACAAAGCTGCTGTGATGCTCTTCATGAAGGGGAACAAGCAGGTAAAGGGCTCACGGGAGGTTTTCTTGGCAGTTTCTCTGGAGGCGCGTGTGCCGGGGCCTCTCTGCCTTCCCGCTGCAGCGGGTGGAGCCGCGGGGGGGCCTGGGTGCGCCGGGCCCGGGGCCTGGGCTCAGGCTGCGCTTGCCTCACTCATTCAGCCGTGGCCCCGGGGGGCGCCTTCCTGCCGCAGACCTGCGGCTCGACCGAGGGCGGGCGGCTGTGCGCCGCGGGTTGGCCGCTGCAGGCCGCCCCAGGGCCTGGGGACGGGGGCTCCCGGGCGCTCTTTTGAGGAAGCACCTAATTGATGGTGCCGTCGTTCTGGGTGTGCAGTTTGAGGGGCCGCGCCCAGCTGAGCGCGCCCTCCGTGTGGTGCAGGCGCCGTCTCCACAGCCCGCCTGCGCCCGATCAGCCCGCACTGGCTGGGGGGGGGCCGGCAGGGCCCGGCTGTGTCAGGGAGACCCGTGCTCTGAGCAGAGGCCGGGGCCGGGGTCTCTGGTGAACTGTCGGGCCGGCCCCTCGGGGCTGCTCTGTGCTCCCGGTCCCTTCCAGGGGAGGATGCATGGCCGGGGAGGCTCACGTCCGGCCCCGGGGTGTGGCTGTCGGCGCCTGTGGGCTCCCCGTGTGCTTTGCTGCCCCTGTCACAGTGGCCCCGCGGGTGACGCGGCGTCGGTGTGTCCTCCTTGGTGACCAGTCAGAGCATGACTTTCAAAGGCATCCCTCTGGAAGCCGAGGACTGTTGTCCCGAGTTCTGATGACAGCCGTATTAACGCTGTGAGGCCTCTTGGCGCCAGGTCCTTTCTGCGGGATGGCTGGGCTTTGGGGTCCTGTGGCATGAAAAATGCCAAGATTCTGTCACCTCAGAGCTTGACGCTCTGTGATCGGGAAAGTAGATGTGGAAACGGGGAGGAGCCCAGCGGGAGCAGGGCCCGGGGCAGGAGGTTGAGCACGTCCGTGGGCGGAGGGCCCGGCCACGCGGGGGTGACTTGGAGGAACAGGATCACGGGCCGTGCCTGGAGCCTCTGCGAGGGGCAGTCCATGGAGGCGCAGGAACGGCTTGGCGGCCCGTGACGCTTCACCCGCCATGCGCCCCGCGTGAAGGGGCACGTTGCCCAGGTGAGGGCATTGCCCTGGGGTGCTGCCGGCCCACACCCCCGCGTGGAGGAGCAGGAGCGCTGGCGCAGCTGACAGGGCTCTGCTTTTTCTTTTTAAACTTAGGAAGCGAAGTGCGGATTCAGCAGGCAAATCCTGGAAATCCTGAATAGTACCGGGTACGCAAATCTCGTTTTCAAATGCAGGTGTAAGCCATCTCCCCGGAGTAGGAGAAACGCCCCCGCTGTGCGGCGTCCCCCCCGATTGCCCCCCGGGCGCTGGGGCAGAGCCTCGCAGGGTTTCCTGGCTGGGGTAACGTGAGGGGCCCTGGGGCGGCCGTGGATGTGCTGTGGCTCCGTCCCGAGGTGGCGGCGGCCTGGCTGGTCAAGTGCTGGGGACATTGGGGTGCAGGCCTTCGCTTTTCTTCTGGCAGGGGCCGTGGGCGGAGCTCAGCTCAGGTGCCTCCTCGCGCTGTCCCCAGCTCCACAGGGCGCTTTCCCAGAAACAAAATAGTTTTCTATTTAAAACACCAGGTAGGCCCCCCCCGGTGGCACAGCGGGTTGAGTGCAGTGCTGTGAAGCTGTCCGCAGCCTCCGCCGCACTGGTTCGATCCCTGGCCGGCCAGGGAGCTACCCACATGGCGCGGCAGACCTCTCCTGTCTCCCCGCTGCTCCCCTCAGCAGTGTGTTTCAGTCAGTCTGCCAGTTCTGTTCCCCGCTCTGTCTCTGGTGGATCCTCTCACCCCCCGCCCCTCTGGCGTGTACCCCAGCTCTTGTATAAATAAAATAAATCTTTAAAAATAAAACACCAGGTAGCTCTTCAACACTTGAGACTGAATTTCTCGTTAAATGTTTCTCCCTACTGCAGTGTCGAGTATGAGACCTTCGACATCCTGGAGGACGAGGAAGTAAGTGCTCTGAGTTGTCCCCACTCTCGGTCCGTGTCGCCCGGGCCCGCCGGGCAGCTCACTCAGGGCCGCGCTGTCCCCACAGGTCCGGCAGGGTCTGAAAGTCTATGCCAACTGGCCCACCTACCCGCAGCTGTATGCCCGAGGGGAGCTCATCGGAGGGCTGGACATCGTCAAGGTGAGATCAGGGTTCGCCTGGGGCCCGGGCGTGGCTCCACACTGGACAGAAACTCGGGCTGGGCCTTTTACTCCTGGTCTCAGGCTGGGCCCTCCTGACCCGGGCGGCCCTCGCCCTGCGCGGCTCCTGGGCCCTCCCACCGCCCAGCTGGCACCCTCACCTCGCACCTGAATCGGCACAGTTGCCTTCCCAGGGGGGTCGCTGTGGTGGGGGAAAGGGACGGGGGTGGGCAGCATCGCTCCCTCCTGTCACCTCGAGAACTAAAGCCTTTAACGCACTTCGTGAGGCCCTTCAGCCCCACAGCGCCTGGCAGCGTCCCCAGGCTGCCCCCACCCCGCCCTCCGGCCTCAGGCCCGCTGATCTCGGGGACACCGCCCCTCGCCCAGCCCTGGGTGAGCCTCAGCGGGCTGTCTCGGTGCCGGAGGACGCACGTGCAGCACATCACTCGTGGCGCCCCAGGGTCGGTCCGCTCTTGCTGTTCTGCAGGGTGTGGTCTGTGGGTGCGGTCTCCGCCTGGCACCTCGGGCCTTCCCTTGGGGGGCTCACAGCCGTGCAGCCACCGCCACGGGGCCCGTCACGGGCCTCATGCAGTTCTGAGGCTGAGCTGCGCCAGCCATTTCTCAGCACGTGACAGGTGTCGTGTGGCTTCACGCCCACCCGCTGAGCTCATGCACGTCTGGGAACCTGCGGTGCTGTCCGCATTTTCCTTGAGAAGCACCGGAGAGCAGCTCTCCCCGGCCACTGCAGTCTGTGTCCTCAGGCCTGGGGCGGGCGCTGGCCGCCCTGGGGGCTGCGAGGGCTGCTCTCTCCAGGCTGAGTCTTGTGTCCCAGGAACAGCCGCTGCTGAGAGGCACGTGCCAGGGGCCCCCGAGAAGCCCGGGCCCTGGCGGCAGGTGCTTGGGGTGCGGTGCCACTTGCTTGTGCACACAGCCGGCCCCCACCGCAGGCGACGGAGCCCCGGTGTCCCTGGAGACCTCCTCAGGTCGCCTCAGCAGCCCGAGGGCAGCCTTGGTGGGGAGAGGGTCTGCTGAGCTGCTGGCCTCTCGCCGCCCGGGGCGCCCGCCTGCTGCCTGCCCTCTGCCCTGGAGAGTCATGAGGAGAGCGAGTGGGCTGGGGGCTTGCTTGCCCTTCGTGCGACTTAGGGGACCTGGAATGTGGCTTCCTGTTAAGTCGGCCCAGGCCGGGGCCTACGCAGCTCTCGGGCCCGGGCGCTGACTCAAAGCCGTGTGGGCCAGCCGTCCAAGTCCCTTCCTGCCGCGCCTGTGTAAACCGATGCTGGCTCTGAGCCTTCGGGGGTGAGTGGGGCCTGGACACCACGCCCGCTCCTCCGCGCCCCCTGGGCCTGGCTGGCTGCCTGCCGGAGGCTGCTGTCTGCGCGGGAGGCCCTTGTTCTGTGCCCCTTGCTCCCCCTGGGCCGAGCAGCCGGGGCGCGAGAGCACTTCCCCTGGTCAGCTGCTCGCCTGGCCTGGGCGGCCGGGGGGGCCCAGCGAGGCTGCCATGGCTCTGGCGCTGGGGCCGGGCCGCCCAAGCGCGCTCACGGTTTGCTTATGCGCGTTGCTTTTTTCTTTTTCTTATTAGGAACTGAAAGAAAATGGCGAATTGCTGCCCATTCTGAGAGGAGAGAATTAGTGAATGCCAGACAGGCGCCCGCGAAGGCAGGACGCCGCGGCCGGTCACACTCCGTCCTCAAGGCGCGGGTGGGCGTGCTCGGGGCAGCCAGGCTCCGTGTGTCTCACCGGTTCCTGCCCCGTGGGTGTGTTTCCCACCAGACATGGGAGGCAATAAACCACTTCGGAGTCGGCCACGCGTGGTGGTGCAAAGCGTGTCTCTCTGCGCCAGTCAGATGTGCGGGCCCCGGCCTGCGGGCCCTGCGATGCGCTCGCGGCTCTTCGGCGCACTGGCCGCTGGCTGGCGCGGTGAGGAGCCCCCAGGAGCCGCTGTTGTCCCACAGCACTCAGCGGGCAGGCGCCGGGTTCCCTCACTGGCCAGGGAGCACGTCACTGCGCCCGAGAGTCCAGCTGATGGTCTCCGGGCACCGCGCCTGGCCCTGGGGAGCCGGCGGTGATGGGGCCACCTGCTGGCTCAGACTGCCTCGGCCGCTGCCATCGGGTGCCACCGGGACGCTCGCCCGGGAGGTGGCGGTGTGGTGCTGACGGGGAGCTGGGAGGCCTTGGCCGGGGCTGCTCTCGACAGCCCTCAGCGAGGGTCCCCCCACTGGCTCGGCCTCAGCCGTGGCCTCGCCGCCTCCTGGGGGGCTGGTCGCCTGGGAGATGGCGCTCGCACGCGCGTCCCCCCACCTCCTCTCCCCGTTTCAGACGTGACTCCCCAGAGAGAACCTGTACGGCAGGGCGTGGAGTCCTGCGAGCCGCTGGCCTGGGGCGCCCCCTCACGGGGCTGTGGCCTTGCTCCTGCCCGCGGCGTGTAGCGGCTCCCGGTCTGGCTTCCTGGGCCTATTTCGGGGGTGTAGTGGGTGATTCTTGAACCCCTCTGAAGCTCAGGCTCCATGGGCAGGGCCAGCTCAGGTTTTCCAGCAGTGGCGCTTGCCTCGGAGTGCCGTGCGTCAGGGCAGTGCGCCCTCGCCCCGCCGGCCCCCAGCACTGCCCGGCACCGGAGCAGGAGCAGCGGCGCCTGCGGGGTCCAGGCGGGGTTCTGCGGGGGTGGCCCCAGTCTGAGCACTGCTGGAGTTGGTGTGCAGCGGCTGGCTAGCCGTGCGTCCAGTGGGGGTCGTCATGAGTAGGGAGGGTGGGGTGCGTGGGCGGGGCTGCCGAGCCTGGCTGTGGGACCCAGGAGCACCGTGGCCTTGGGGGGCCGGGGCCTCGGTGCCATGCCCCGTTGGCAGTTGCTCCTGGTGCCAGGGCAGGGCAGGGGCTGGGCGGCGCCTGAGAGTTTCTGAGCCCGAGGGAGCCACACCCCGTCCTCGGGGGCCCCTTCCGGCGGGGCTGCTGCTGGGCCGTCCAGTGTGTTCGGCTGGGGGCACCTTCCTTATGGAGCCGGCGTCCACTTGGGGCGCAGCCTGTGGGGCTGGACTGTACAGGGAGGAAAGCCGATTCCGCTTTGTAACCAGAAATGGGGCCGACAACCCATTTGACCAAAGGCCTTCAAGGGGCGTCTGTGCAGGGGAGGGACCGTGGGGCTGGCCGGGCCGATGGGAGTGTGACGCCGAGCCCGCCGCGGTGGGGAGGGCAGCCGCCTGTACACCTGTGGCGGCGCAGGGAGTCAGGTCTCCAGGCTGCCCCCTCCCTCCCCCAGCCTGCAGGCGGCTCTTCACGGCTCTCTTGGCCCCACGCCCGAGTCAGCGCCGAGACGGGCGGTGGGCACGTCAGGGCCCCTCTGTGCGGAGACCAGAGGGAGCTGGGCTGGGACCGCCGGTGTCCTGTGGCTGCTGCGTGTGCTCGGTGCTTGGCCTCAGGAGCCCCAGGTCCTGCCCGCCTGGCTGGCCCTTTAGCTTCCTCAGGAAGGAAGAAAAAACTACACTCTGGAGAACTTTTCTGCTGCAGGGAGAGGGGAGGCAGCCGTTTCCACCAAGTGGGGGTGTTGGGGCGCACCGTGCAGGCGAACAGGTCAGGGCGAGAGCAGCCGAGTGGCATTTGCGTGGCAGACGGTGCCGTGACTGGGGCCCTGTAAGGACGGGCCAGTAGCACCCCGGGGCTCTGAGGCCAGGGTCCGGGCAGGGCGCAGGGAGGGCGGGGGGTTTAGGGCCTCGGCAAGCGGGAGGGAAAAGCCGAACCAAGGCGGGACAGCGCTGCGCCCCCGGGGCCGTGCCCAGCGCTCTGCCCGCCCGGAAGCCGCCCGGAAGGGCCCCCCGCAGCGTGATGTGCCGCCGTAGTGCTCCGAGGAGGCAGTGCCCAGGCCCGCGCGACAGGCCGCGGGTTAGCGGAAGGGAAGTGACCCCAGCCCGCAGGGAGTCAGCGTCCAGGCAGCTGTGGTGGCGTCCGCCAGGGGCCGTTGCTCCGGAGACTCCGCAGTGGCCGTGAGAAGCCGCGGCCCCACAGGCCCCGAAGAGGCCCGCTCCCGGATGGAGAAAGCCGTTCACTGGCCTGAAACTGCCCCGTGGAGTCGGCCGTGCCGGCAGGACCGCACCCTCCCAAGGGCTGACCGCGTCGCAGGGCCCTCCGTGAGCCCTCGGCGCCCTCCGGGGCTGCGGGCCGCAGCAGGGCCTCTGGCTGCGGCGGTGACCAAGGCCTGGGGGTCGGGCCCTGCGTGCGGCTGGTCCTGCGGGGCCGGCGGAGGCGGCCGGGTCCTGGCGGCAGGGGTGTGGCCACAGCGAGGCCTGCGGGCGGAGCGCTGAGCGGGCCGGCACCGTGTTGCTGAGACCCACGCAGCCGCTTCCAGACGCGCAGAGCACTGGCTTGGGTTTTCTTTAAAATCAGTTTTCCTAAGTCAGACAGTAGGAGCTGGCCACCGGCAGGACGCGAGCTGGCCACCGGCAGGACGCGAGTGGCCGCCTTCCCAACCTACGGCGCCAAGACGGGGCCTTCAGACCAGGCCTTGTGCCTGGAGGCCTCTGTGTCCCGGAATCCCGGTGTCTGCCCAGGTGCTCTGCTGGGGGTGCAGTGGGCTTCGGGGACAGTCAGGGCTGGGAGCAGCCGGCCCAGGCAGAGTCCAGAGCCACTGGAGGGCTCCAGGTCCATTGTCGGCGTCACCCTGGCCCCTGGCCCCAGGAGGCCCGCGCTTGGCCCTGGCAGCCTCGGGGGCTGCAGGTCTTGGTTGCTGCGGTGGAGAGGGACATGCGGGACCTGTCCAGTGGCTGGCTGGGCGCTGCGGGCCTCCCCTGCTGGGCATCATACATCGTGTCCTAAAGCATCCAGCTTCCCTCTCCCACAGAGCCCCTGAGGGAGAGCCTGGCTCGCTAGAGACCGCGGGCTCCAGTTCTGCCTGCAGTTCTGTGCAGCCACGAGGGGGGCTCCGCAGGGATGGGAGGGCGGGTTGCCCGGCCCAGTTCCCCCTTCCTCCGGCACATGCCAACCGGCGCCCTGCAGGCCCAGCGCGGGAGCTGGGGATGTGGCCAGCACTGGGGGCCCAGCGGATTCAGCAGTGGGTCAGTCCCCCAGGGGCTCAGCCCCGCCCTGACCCCGGCATCAGGGCCTGAGGCCGACCCGGCAGGGGCAGCGCAGGAGCGGCTGCAGCCCCGGGCTGGGGCCTTAGGTAAACTGGAGGCTCTGGCGAGCCGCCTGCCGCCCAGGCGCGCTGACCAATGTCACCTCGACTTGCGCTGTGCCAGAAGCCCACCCTTGCATCTGGAGTGGTGGGTCCTCTGGGGGCTGCGCTGGGGCGCCGCCAGGCCCGTCCCCTCCCGGGTGCCCTGGGCTGCAGCCGGCCCAGCACCCGCCTCCAGAGGGCTCATCCTGGAGGGCTCCGCCCAGCGCCACCCCTTCTGGAGGTGTCCTCAATTCCCGTGCACCCCCTATTGGGGAGGTGAGTCCCTCTGCACCCCCTTTCCTGAAGGGTCAGTGCACCTCCTCTGGGGGTCAGTTTGGTGACCACCACCACAAGGTCCTCCACCACCGTGCGGGGTGGAGGCAGGAGCGGAAACCCACCCCCGAGGGGAGCCGGAGGGCGCCCGCCCGTGGGCCCCGACAGGTGGGGAACCTCGCGCCCCTGCGTGGGCTCTTCTGGGCACCCTGCCCGGCCCACCCCTCTGCCGGGCACTGAGCCGGCCGCCAGCTGCTGACGCGGAGGGTCACTCAGACTCGCGGGCCTGGGGGTGGGCGCGGGCGGCGCGAGGCCGGCGCCTCGGAGGGCAGTGACCGCGCGTGTCCACGCGAGGGCGCTGCGCACCGCGGCCCGCCCGGCTGCAGGGGCGGCCTCGGACCGCCAGGGGGCGCGCGAGGACCGGGGCGCCCGCGGCCCCGCAGCTCCTCCGAGTCCGCCTTAGGGAATCGCCTTAGGGCATCTCCCCCAGGGCCGGCGCGTCCCCCCTCACCTCCAGGGGCTCCAGGGCACAGGCGCCCGCCCTGGAAGCTGCACCCCCCTGCTCCCGCCCGCCTCCCCTCCTGGCGTGCTGTCCCGTGTGCGTGTGCGCGTGTCTAGGCCCTCCACGCCCCCCGCGCCCACCCTGAGGCCCAGAGGCAGCCGCTCTCGGCCGCCCAGCCCTGGCCGGGCCCCAGCGTCCAGGTCCAGGGGGCCGGGCCCCAGCGTCCGGGTCCAGGGGGCCGGGCCCCAGCGTCCGGGTCCAGGGGCCGGGCCCCAGCGTCCGGGTCCAGGGGGCTTTCCGGGCCCTGCTCAGGGGCAGGGCCCTGTGCGCACCCCACGGCGGGCCTGGGCAGGTGGGGTCCTCGCGGCCGTGGCCCAGCCGGCGTCTGCAGCGCCCGGGTCCTCCCGCAGCCGCCCCGCGCCTGTGCCGCTGCCTCGGGCCTGGGGCGAGGCTGGAGCGCGGGGACACCGGGTCATCTGGCCCCCCCGGGGTCGTGCCAGCGCCGGCACCAGCGCGTCCTGGAGGGGCACCGGGCTGGGGAACCGTCCCAGGCGCCTGTGCCGGCCGATGGCCTCCGCGGCGGGGCTCGTCCTCGCTGGGCGGGGAGATCACCTCGCGCCCCGCGTCTCCCTGCGAGGTCCTGGGGCCCAGCGCGAGCGCCGCCTGGTTCCTGGGGTGAGAGGCCGGAGGAGAAGTCGCGCCAGCCAGTGGGTCCGCCCGGGCCCTCCCCCTGCTCGTCGGGGCGCGCTGGGGCGATGCATCGGGGCTGGCAGCTAAGACGCGTCCACCCGAGGGCGGCTCAGGCATCTCCGCTGTCCAGTGAGGGGACGTCGCGGCCCCGCTGGCCCAGGTCTGCCGCCCCATCCCGGCGTCCACCCGCCACCCCCGCCCCGCCCCCCCAGCCCCCTCGGGCGCGCCCGC